GTTTCATTGTGCCGATTAGAGTTCAAGAACTTTGTTGTTAGGCATTTTCTGTTCAGAGGTTTAACAAGATCTATATTTTTTACTGTCAAATGTTTGTGTTAAAATGAAATGCTTGCACCTTTTAGTTGGTATCATTAAATCTCTATATCAGAGTGTTTCATTGTGCCGATTGGAGTTTAAGAACTTTGTTGTTAGGCATTTTCTGTTCAGAGGTTTAACAAGATCTATATTTTTTACTGTCAAATGTTTGTGAATTTACTGTTGCAATACGTGCCGATTGGAGTTTAAGAACTTTGTGTTAGGCATTTTCTGTTCAGAGGTTTAACAAGATCTATATTTTTTACTGTCAAATGTTTGTGAATTTACTGTTGCAATACGTGGATTGAAGTTCTGCGACGATGATGTTAGGCATTTCTCTTGAGAGCTTTAACAAGATTTATTATTGATTGATGATTGTCAAATGTTTGTGAATTTATTGATTTTGGCAATTGTTAGAACTGGGAACTAGTTGCCGTTCTTATCACCAACCTAGATTCACATGATAGTTGCGGATAACTTGACGATGGTAAATTTAGGGTTGTTTATTATGATGTTAGGCTGAGCTCTTGATGGTTCAAAAACTAAGAATTCTTACCACAATGGTAAGTCTAAGTACTGTCATTAGAATCTCTTTCTCCCTCTCTAAATGACTTGCAGTTGGAATCTTATCTTCCTGTGTGGCATGAGAATCCTATATTTCTTTACAAATTAAATTTCCTTTTCATGTTGGACTATGTAGCTAAGCTTCTCCACATTTCAGGCACTCTACTGATCGTGAAGTTGCTCTCATGATTCTCATGGCTTACCTCTCATATATGATGGCTGAAGTAAGTATTCTTTTTAATTAATGTGTGCCTAAAGATCCATCTTTCTAATATTTCAGGTGCTGTTTTAACACCGGTTGTCGTGTCCTTGTTTTCTCTGAATGATTTGGTTTTTCAGCTGTTCAGTTTGAGCAGCATTCTTACAGTGTTCTTTTGTGGCATTGTCATGTCACACTACACCTGGCATAATGTGACTGAAAGTTCAAGAATCACCACCAAGTATGTTCATTTGAAATTTAGTTCCCACATGTTGAAAAGTTTTTCGGTATTCTTTATCAGACCCAAATAAACATGTTTTACATTCTTGCGCTGATTATTGATCATTGCAGGCATGCTTTTGCAACACTATCATTCATAGCAGAGATTTTCATCTTCCTGTATGTTGGTATGGATGCTTTGGATATAGAGAAGTGGAAAATTGTTATCAAAAGGTGATTTATATATATATATTTGGCCAAAGTACAGTTTCATTTATATTGTCTTGCCATGTTGGTATATAATTTTACACATTATATCTTTTTTATCATCATCTTTAACAATCTCAAGAAATTGATAATGTAATGTCAAGTAATAGAGATGGTCAATACAGTATCGTATCAGTTACCATTGCATGCCTTTTGTTTTCTTTAAATGGTATCTAAGTTGAATATCAAAGCAATGTCTCGCAATATCAATTGACTGTTCAATTGGATATATCATATGTTTTTGTAGCCCTGGAACATCTGTGGGGGTGAGCTCAATACTTCTTGGCTTAGTTCTAGTTGGAAGGGCAGCTTCTGTATTCCTTCTATCTTGTATCTCCAATTTATTCAAAAGGCCTGAGAGCGACAAATTTACTTTGAAGCAACAGGTCGGTATTTTGAACTATATTTTAGATTTTCTTCCCTCTGACATACTTGATTCACTGAATTATTCAAGTCAAACAGGTTACAATATGGTGGGCAGGACTCATGCGAGGTTCTGTGTCTGTGGCGCTTGCTTATAATCAGGTAAATTAGGTGATAAGATGTATGATCTTGAGACTCCTGCATTTTGATTGATTTATTTCCCAAAAGTCAAACATAAATCAATAATCATTTCTATGCTGTTTTTGACATCAATATAATATAATAGTAGTAAGGCATAGAACTTTTTGTTCTCAGCATGAATTTTCTGGCTTTCTGAATTGTTTGCCTCGTTAGTCTGGATATAAATTTTTGCAGTGAAAATGTTAAAAAGTTGGCATTTTAGTGCCTGATCAAATAATGATGATGTATGGTAAGACAGATGCTTCATCATGCTTTTCTATAAACTGAGGAAAGTGTACCAAAAAATTGTGAATTCTTGGGCGACCACCATCCATTTACTGCAGTCATCGTTAGGTGCATTTGCTTGGACATGTTATATTGGCATTCTTATCTCCGAGTAAAGAACACTATAATTGCTGTTTCGCTTTGGTTCTTGCCACCTAAGTTGTAATTTATTTTAATTTATCGGATATATTCAGTTTACCAGATTGGGGCACACTCAATTGCGAGGAAATGCCATCATGATTACCAGCACCATCACTGTTGTTCTTTTCAGTACTGTGGTAAGCTCTCGTCCTAAAGTTAGAACTGTTTTTCAATAATGATAGGGTCTACTCTGCATAACTTTGTCAAGTGAGACTTTCTCAGTGGCGATTCCTTGAATTTTTTTTCTCCATATTCCCTTGGAATAAAGTCAATAACCATCCTTTTACCAACGTATACATAGATATCTTAATGACTGACCCTATCCAGGGATATTTGTGTAAACCTTTTATGTTAGATGGTCGATTTAGAAAGGCGTATAAGATTGATGGAATTTCCAATAATAAGATCAAGGCTAGGTTAAATGGAGAAGGTTGCCATTTGCGGACGTCAAACGTGACTTGCATTGTTCACATCATGTAAGTTCGTTTGTCTTTGTTTCAGGTGTTTGGATTGTTGACAAAACCTCTAATAAGGCTGCTGCTGCCAAGAAAGAACCTTAGCAGCACTGCATCTTTTGATGCTCTTCCTCCAAAGCCGTTGATGGACCGGCCACTTCTCTCCAACGGGCAAAGTGCAGATCCCGAAGCGGGCAGTCAGAACATTCCCCGTCCGACCAGCCTACGCATGCTCCTAGCTACCCCGGCTAATACCGTCCACTACTACTGGCGGAGGTTCGATGACAGCGTCATGCGTCCCATGTTCGGCGGGAGAGGTTTTGCATCACATGTTCCTGGCTCACCAACAGAACCACTTCTTCGCTGAATGTTGCACTAAGAGAAGACATTCGGGAGTTTAAAGAATCCACCTTGTCGGAATCTATACATGTAGGAGTAGGATAACACGGCGTGTGTAAATAGTTAGCATTATTACTGATCAGGGAGATTAAAGGGTATCTGAAGAAACGAGTGCAAATTACTAAATTAGGCACGCTGAAATGATTGTAAATAGGCACTGGATTCAGAATTAGATAAGGAAGCTTTACGAGATTAAACCTCACAACTTTTTTAATATGTTAATATAACGTAAGAAGCTCACTCTTCTTCCTTATCCGTTGAGTACTTTGGAAGATTAGGTTATTGATTTTTGGCGCCTCTTCATTGTCAATGGGAACTTCACAGGGTTTCTTTAAGGAAGTTTAATGCGTGGTGTTAATTTAGGACTGAATTTTTAAAATGGGCAAAACTATGCATTTAATACCTACACTATCATTTTTAATCTGTTTTAGTATCTAAACTTTCAAAATTTTCAAAATCATACGTAATGTTTAGTTTTTGTTTCATTTTATTACCCACGGTTAAAAAATTAACGCGTTTAGTACCTAAACTATCAATTTTGGTCCGTTTTAGTATCTAAATTTTAATTTTTTCAAAACTTAACATTAAATTTTGAACACGAGTACTAAAATGAAACAAAAATTAAACTTTCGATATTATTTTTGAAAAATTAAAAGTTTTGTTACTAAAATAGACCAAAGTTTATAGCTTAGGTACTAAATGCGTAATTTATCCTTTTTAGTTTTAGTCTGATTTTATACCTAAACTTTCAAAATTTTCAAAATCATACCTAACATTTAGTTTTAAAAAATTGAAAATTTAGATACTAAAACACACAAAAACTAATAATTTAAGTATTAAATATGTAATTTATCCATATATTTATTTTTATTTTTATTTTTTTTACATTGGACGTTAAATCTCAAATAATAATAACAATTCATTTTTTATTAAGGTTGCATGATTGTTGCCCTTATATTATTATATAAACTCGATTATATCAAATAGAAAATTTTATATTATTTTAATTTTAATATAATTTAAAAAGTCTTTTTCTGTTGCAATTTCAACCCTCACGATTAGGTTAGTAATCATTATAGGGTAAACTATTCAAGTGACTACTTAATTATGGAAATGATGTTAATATGACCATTATACTTTCAATTTTAATAATATGACCATATAATTATTTAAATAATTTCAATGTAACCACTTGTTGTTAAAAGTAAATGGCATAATTGATGTGATTATTATTGACTAACGATGAGCCAGAAGTCCACATCGGTTACATCGTTTTGTTTTTAACGGCAAACGGCTTCTTTGAAACCACTTGATTAATTATATGATCATATTGACACCATTCCTATCGTAACAAAAACGTCGAATGAAAAAAAAATAATTCTAGCATATACAGCCAGACTTTATTATTTCTTATGAAGTACTACTTCATCAAAAAATATGCCTAAGATTTCAATAAAAAGAATTCTAAAATTTGAACTCAAAGATAAGTGCCGAACATCAAATTCACCCCGACGAGGTGATCACCATTTTTGCTTTTTGTCGATTTGATGTAACCGAGGTTGAAACCAGACCCCTTTACTTGTTCCGGGCACTTTAGCTTTCCCGGTGTTTTCGTAAGGGATCATCGCATCGGCCGGTCGGCACGACACGATCGTCCCGCAAGTCGAGACTAGAGATCCTTCTCCCAGTACCGATGCCAATCGTTTCTTCCTGTCCTTGATCTCGTGATTGGAACTGAATCTCAACGGGAGACATCTTTCTTTGTCCGACTTCTCGTACGTTACCTGTCCGAACATTATGCTCCGGTCCTCGATCGAGAAGAACACCGTCAGATCCGTGTCGTCGAAGTACTAGAAGACCCCGTCGTGGTACGCGGCGCACTCGATCCTGCTGGGGAACGAATAGAGTTTGTGGTTGGTCCATGAGTTGGCTCCGCGGTGAATCACGTACAGCTCCAAATCCTGTCGTCGTTCGATCCGACAAATGATGCACACGTCGCAATCATCCGAAGTCGGGGGAGCCGAGAGCACGGCCACGTGGTCGGATGATTCTCCGTGAGCTAACTGGCACGGGACCGGGAGCTCGATCGTGGTACGAGAGAAAGGACAGAAGAAGAACAACGAGCCTTGTCGAAACAGAAGGAGCCACCCCTGACTCGATGCAAGGCAGGTTGCTCCCTCCATTTCCGGGATGGTAATTGAATATCGTTCGCCCGATCCGGTGACCAATGTGCATCGAGAACTATTGTTTTCGCCATAGACTAGGAACCAAGGCTCGAGGTCCGTTAACGCTTCGATCTCGGCTGAAGCCGCCGAAGAAGCGGAATTCCAGTCCTTGCAGACGCCACGGAAACAGAGAAGATCGATTAGGCCTAACCGCTCAGCAATGGCCGGCAAAAGCTCATTAGGAAGATCACCCCATCCCCTCACCGCGACCCGATCGTCGCACATGCTCGGCCTACACAAAAGCCACTACATTTGCATCACGGACACATTCAATCATACATATTCGAATATAGATACAAAACTTTACGCTCGATCCGAGATTTGTTTAGGCATTACCTTTGAGAATGAAGCACAGCCGAAGAATCCATGGAAACAAGAGTGTTTCAACTAAGGTCTTCCGTCCAACAATAGTTTATATTTATTCTACTAAAATCATAATTTAATTACCTAAAATTATATCAAGTCATTAAAATATATTATTCTAATACTTATTAATATTAGATTTCAAATACAACGAAGAACAACATTTATCCAATCTCTTATAGTTTGACATTATGAATGGATGCCAATGAGGTGATAAGAAACGTAAAGTTCAACCTAAGAAAGACAACAAACAAAACAAACCCTATTGACAAGAAATCTTCTAAAGATTTAATGTTTTAATATTTCAATCTCTTTCAACAATCGTACGAGACTAGTTTTGAATTATGTTGTTCGACTTCTTAAAAGGATGCTTCTCATAACTTAAAATTTTGAACAAACTCCTCAAATCCGAAGGAACCCCATACCAGAGCATTATACTATCAAGCTTTTATATGGATTATCGTTAATTTTGAGTGAATTTTGTAGAAAACCAATATAAGAAGACGTGAATGAAATGTGGATGTTTTAGTGCCCCTCTTACCACGAAACGTAACATGTAACGAGTGGCGATTGACGATTGACCGACAATAATCAAATTGATATGTAAAATAAAATTTCACGTTAACATTAGATTATCACGTCATTTGATTATTAATATTTAGTAATTCAATAATTATATTAAATCTAAAAGTAAGATTTAAAGAGGATGAAATCTAATATTTTAAATACACGCATAATTGTTTGATTTGTTTTAACGATGGTGCACAACCTTTTCCTTTATTAAAGCAACACCCCTTTTAAGGGATTAAATTAGCTTCAAAAAACAGAGTAAAGCTGAAGCAATTAGCAAGAAAACCCCAGAAAAAAAAAACCCAGAAACTAAATACGAAATTCGGCTTGTTAATTATTGAATTCAATCAAGTAGCTTAACCATTTGTTTAACACGTGTTTGGGGCAGACAAAACCAAGACCTGCCATTAACATAGTTGTGTGGTTCCAAAATATTTATATATATATTTAATGAAAATACATGTGGTATTTTTCGTATACACTCGGTGCACGCTATCATCCATCCTCTATCGTTTGCACACGCCTCGTTGCATGCCCGCAAGGCTCATAATCTTGTGGTTGTGGATCAATTCTCACTTAGTGTTAGGGGCAACCTACTATCCTACCTCCCCTTACCCCATTACATATGGGAATAGGGTCAGCTAATTTCCCCCCCCTATATTTGGGTTAACTCCTTTCTAAGTTTTAGAACTCATTTTCTAGATGGTCGCCTGTGCATATATATGATTTACTTACCCATTCTAAAAATAAGAGTTTTACATATCTTTTAAATTATTGAGCGGAGAGAAATCAAAGATCGATATTAATTTCTTGTTTCCATCATAGTGAAAATCTTCTCATTTCCCATTGTTAAATCTCAATTTTTTGATTTCTCTAAAGTCTTGAAAAAGTATAAAACTAAAAGTTTTTTAAAAAAGTTTCAGGTTCTTTGTTTCTTGATCGAATTTTTTGTTTCGTGAATGGTTTATTTCTTTCTCAAATGGGTTCATTGTTAATCATTTTTTAATAATTATTTACCTTTTTAATATTATTTAATTTTTTGATTGATTTCACATAGTGACCAATTTTACTTTTAGAGATTTCATTAAGGAGATTTGGGGAAAGTTACTGAATTACATAGAATATTTTGAAAGTGTAAGTTATATATTATTTAATTTGTTCATCATTTCAATGAATTGAATTATATATAATATTGTGTTAAACTGTATATTCTTTGTCTCTTATCGTGTATGTTTCTTGTATATAATAAGCTAGAAATACAAAATGATTGTAGAAGAAACGGTCATTGTCATGCACATGAGCGGCAACTTTGTTAAGAACCCAATTTTAGAATATGTTGGTGGAGATGGGGTTGAGTAGGCAATGGACAAAGATTTATTAAGTTATTTTCAGCTAATTGACTTGATACATAAGGTTGGGTATAGAGCAGTAATATGATTTAACTATTTGGTACCAGGGGATATTTTAAAGGATGAACCTATAGTTTGTTATGATGATGAATCTTTTAGGAGTATGATTTTACATTGTAAGAAATGAGTACTGTATGTGTAAGTTGAACATGAAGTTGGTAAGCCAGAGTATGCTGAAAATGATGTACAGTATGAGTCGCATATTGGTGGTACATAGGAAAATGGTAGTAGGTCACATATGTTGAATGAAAAAAATTATTTAATTGATGTAAAAGTTAATGACTTTGTCTTTAGGGGCTTTGGCCTTAGTAAAGTTGGTGGGTGCAGTAATGAGACTGGTGAGATAGTGGGCTTCAGAGACTTTGAAGTATAGGGTAAAGAAAAGACTGAGGCAAAAATTGAGGTAGAATCTCATACTGAGTTTAAGATAGATGCTGAGAAGTCTAAAGCTGAGGTTGATGGTACTGAGGGTGAGGTTGAAAGTGAGATCAATAATTCTACTGATGATGAGGGTTTAATTTTTATTTTTGCATAGAGACATGTATTATGGATATGATGATGAAGAAATTAGGGAAATAAGGGAAAAGTTTCTTAAGTTCTATAAGAAGCATAACAATAAGAAGCTTTCCAGTAATGATGTATATGGGGAACCCATTTTTGAAGATGTTGCAACTGATCAAGCCTCAAATGTGAAGAAAAGATAATAAGGATGATAAGGAATACAAGGGTGCTGATAGTGGAGAAGATGCATACTATATTCATTCATCAGATGTTGGAAGTTATGAAAGTATGAAAGATGTAGAAGTTGTTTGCAAGAAAAGTAACAAGATATTTTATGACTCTTAATCCCTAATTTAGTTTTAGGTTTGATTTTTTCTAGCACAAGACAATTCAAAGATGTCTTAGTTAACTATGTTGTATCAAAAAGGCTTAATTATAAGTTTGTGAGAAATGAGAGTGATAAGGTAAGTGCAAAACACAAGGGTCAAGGTTGTAAGTGGGAGATTTATGTCTCTGTTAACAACAATGATGGGTACTTTAAGGTTATAAAACTGATTACTCAGCATGATTGTTCACTAACCTTCAAAAATTCGAAGGCTAACTACAAGTTTATAGATAAACACTTTTTTAAAAAATTAAGGATCATATCAAAGTTGACTTTGCCAGAGATGCAACGTTTGGCTAAGGAAAAATTAAACATGGATGTTCATACCAATATATGTAGTAAAGCAAGGATGTGGGCAAATAATGAGATTAATGGAAGGGTTGCATATGAGTTTGACAGGTTGTTTGACTATGTTGCATCACTAAGGAAACTAACTTAAATTGTGTTATAGATCTAAGGAAACTAGTACACTAGTGTAGGACATTTTTTAAAACAACTTCTCATAGTGATGTAGTAGATAATAATTATGTTGAAGCCTTTAATGTTGTTATTCTCTAATCAAGATTCATGTCCATAATATCTATGCTTGAGTACATTAGGCTTTATGTAATGAATATGATTGTGGAAAATAAAAAGAAAACTATGTCTTGAAAATCAATGTTTAGGCCTAAAATCATGAGAAAAATTCAAGCCAATAAGGAGTTGAGCTCTTACTGTCATGTTACATGGAATGGTTCTGATGGGTATGAAGTATTATTTGGGGAAGGAACTTGTACCGTTGACATTAATGCAATAAAATGTTCTTGCAGGGCATGAGATTTAACGGGTATACCTTGCCCTCATGATATATGTGTCATTTTGTTTAGAAATGAATCAATCGAGGATTATGTGTTTCATTTGTACAAGAAAGAAGTTAATGAGAATCTTTATGGTTATGTACTCCCTTCATTATCTGGTGATAAGTTCTGGCCGAGGGTAAATCTGGGTCTTCTAAGTCCACCTATTGAGAAGAACATGCTTAGGAGATCGAAAAAAAAGAAAACAAGAACCAGGTGAAAGTAGTGTCGGGACAAAATTATCTAAAAAAGGAGTAAGACAAATGTATCAACTATGTTTCAAACAAGGACATAACTCAAGGAAGTGTCCTATTAAACAACAACCTCAACAGGCTGCAGCAACAGAACATCCACCATCAACAGATGTAAGTTACATGTTCTTAACATGTTGCTAGTTATTCTCTATTAAATGTGTACTGGAATTTTGTTACATGTTAACTTCATTTCAATTTTAGGGTGAAAACAAAATAACCCCACAATTGCAGAAGAATTCTTGACAATGTCTTTATTTTGAGTTTGAGCAATATGATGACATCTTTTAAAATAATCGAATGAAAACAAAATTCCTGAAAATCATTTAGTACTTAAATAAAATCGAAAAGTAACCTAAATACATGAAAATAACCCTGACAAAATTTTTTATCCCTTTGCATTTTTTGTTAGACTCTGTTTGATATCCAACCATGGAGGTATAAGTATATACAACCATATTTTCTACAACACTTCAATGCTGAAATGAAATAAAAAAAGAAACCTAAGCAAATACTTAAATGACAAAAAAAATTAAAAACCCAAATACATGGAAAGAACCAAAGACTCATTTAATATAAACAAAAATCATGAAAATACCCAAAATAAAACTCAAACGAAATATAAAAGAACATTTGTACATGAAATTTCAAAAACCCATTGCAAAATCGGGAAAGAATAGACCATTTGATACCCAAAATACTCAAATGAAACCTTGATTGATTTCAAATCGGGGGAAAATCCCAAATGAAAGATGTTAATTTTTTTAAGGTAGCCCGCTGTAAAATAGGGGAAGAAAAGAAAGTTTAGTCCACGTGGAAAATAAAGGGGGTAAGTTTTTTTTAAATCATTAAAAATCATTTTTAATTCGCCATGTGTCATTTTGTTAATGGTCCAGGGCGCCATGTCATCTTCCGTCACGGAAAAGGGTGAAATCGTTGACGACAGAAAACTTCATGTATACAATCGAGAATTTTTAAATTTTACGTATGAAATCGAGAATTAGGTATAGTTCATGTATGAATGGGGTATTTAACCCTATTTTTTTAGAAAAA